GCTATTTTAATGACAAAAACTACATTATTTTGCTCAACAAAGTGATAATTAGTGGAGAATAAGCTGCTAACTACATGGTTTATTCACAGTAAGCCAGTCAGCCACTTCATAGGTCCATATCTATGGCCACTCTTGCTATGGCCCCTTCAGGAAGACATAATCAAAAGTAACCTGCAGCTAGAATAACTGACTCCTTCATATAGCAGCTTCATTATTAATCATCACTGTCAGTCAGCTAGGACTAATTCAACAGCTAAATCACCTAGCTACTGATACTCTATCATTAATAGAGGTCTTTAGATGCTGAATTTTCTCCTCTTGAATATAAGAATGACAGGGTAACTCTTCATTGAGTAGTTCAGAGCCTTTTTCAACTAGATTTTTTCCCCAAAATGCTGAAATAGAAGTCATAACAGGCTTAAACTCAAGAGCAAGGCATATGGGTGTGGTCATAGCCACACCTACTTTTTGACCACTCCCACTTTACTTGCAGTAAAATCCTGCAGCCGCCTATGGTTGCTCTACTCTTTTGGCCTTGTTGTGTTGTGGAGTCAAATAGCGAGGTTATAGCTCGACCATGTGGTTGGAATAAGTTTATTCATGGTGGGCGTTTGTACACTTTTTTTATAGATCTAGTCTATATGGGCGTCGACGATGGGCGTTAATAATTCACCTGAGTCTACTCCACCTCTAATTGTGTGTGTGCGCAGAGTATTCTTTCTTCATTCTGACAGAAATGGGGAACTGCGTAGCTGGAGAGAAAGAGGAAAGAGAGAGGAGAGCTGGAGGGAGCACCAATGACTCATCACAGACTCTTCTATCAGGGGGACAGACACGCGAAGAAGAAGACGAAGACGAAGAAGAGGGGCAGCAAAAGAAATCCGAGCTAGTCAATTTCGCTGGAGACATGACAGAGTCTCTTTCAAGAGGACGCATTAGCTCTGAAAGAGGCCACTCTGTACGTAGGATCATCAGACAAGGCTATAACTTAAAGAAACACTATACCCACCCAACAATGGATTTCTCCCTCAAACTCAGCCCAATCCTGCAAGTAGTAGAAGAGCACATTTCTTTCTTGGCTTCTGATGGTAGCCTGGAGTGTCAGTTAGAAGCCAATGCTGTAGTCCTGGAGCTACTTAAGCTACGATCACACTTAGGTCAAAATTTGATTCCTCTTAGCATGAAGAATGCTTTTTACAGAGAGAGACTGAATCTCTCTGGAGGTGGGGGAGCACTACCACAAAGATCTTTCCGATTGGATTGTATTCAGTTCTTTGAGCCACTGCAGTTTTATGGTAATGAGCCAGGGGGCCTACACGAACTTGTTAAACTCTATGTATTCCTGTTAACAGAGATAGATAAATTAACGCCTTTTATGACCTTTTATCTAGAGAGAACGTGTCACAGCGGCGAATTCTATCACTGCCTTTGTTTCTTTTGCGAGGGTAACGTTAGGGGACAGTTCCACATCTACGGAGACCAGTGTCCGTCCTATTGGGAACTTAGAGATGACGTGTTAGCTAATACAGAGAAGACTATACAGCACATAGTGAGCGGCGGAGTGGATCCATTACCAGAGACAATCTGTGTAACGACATTAGAAACCCCTAGAGACCCAGGGCCGATTAATTTGTAGCACAACTAGTCACTTATTACATTTTCTACCTCCCTCCCTCTCTCTCTCTCCTTTTCCCCATCTCTCCATGAACATGTCTCTTTCATTGCTATCCTATATATAGCTCAATCTACTTTTTTATAGTTCAATGGTATACTGTATATATTATTCTTTGCATACTTTTGCATAGGGCAGCTTCAGTATGTGTTGTTTCAGTATGTGTTGTTTCTGTTTTAATGTTAATGCATCTCTTTCACTTGTTTACACTCGTTTTATAAACAACATTGTTGTACCTCTTTATAACACAACCACATGCCAGCAGCTGCACTTTGTTGTAGCAGTAGTTGGGGGATGATAATTTGTATGTCAGTATGTTTGCTATGCATCAATGATATCATTTACTGAGAGTGATATCTAATACTTACAAAACTGTAACTATAATAAACATATTGTTACTCATCCCCTAATAAAAAAGTTGCCTGATATACATGTACAGTACACTCCTTTTGAAATGGCCTGACTGATTTGGAGATAAAATATTCTCAAAAATGTCAAATTAAAAGTCCCATTTTAATCACTGATCAAATATGCATTGATGTCTTTATGTTGTGTATAAAATTTTAGGCTGTTTTGATCAAAGTTGGATTTTTAAGAAGATCCATAATAATAATATTTTAGTCAAAAATACTAATGTACATTATGGAGGGACATTTATAAAATATATGTACATGTAGTGAGTCTCCAAAGTACAATTAGAATTATTAAAGTTTATATTATAACAGTTTATTATTATAAGCAATAAAACAATAAAAAGGAGTGTTTATGTATGTACAGTACACCATGCATTTATAATAAAAAATACTATCGTGTCTAAAATAAAGATTTTGTGAAGTCTTTATAGTTGTAACAGTCTCTTATCTCAAGCCCGTTGGAGTCAACATAGAGTTTCATCTTTGACATACAATATTCAGCCTGCTCCACTGGTAGTGCCTGAAATAAAAATAAAGTTAACATGCAATAATAGGAGTAGGTTCAAGGTTGATGATACACATTAAACTACCTTAAGGGGACAATTGTTTGCAGGTATTTAATCTAGCGAATTTTAGCGATTTAAAAAATTGCTAACTTTAATTTTTGATTAAATTATTTATTAGTTATTAATATTAAATGATCAAAAACGCTAAATTGAATATTAGCCAAATTTTAATATCATGAAAATCGTTAAAATAAGTACACGCTAATAATTGACTCATTAAACTATACACTAGACTGTACAGTAATTACTCTTTACTATTATCATGTATGAAACATGAATACTCTTGATAATAATAGTAATCATTAACAAACATACTAGACTAAACTATTTAAGGAATAAGCCAGCTGTACAATTACAGGCAATAGTGCCATACCGGTCAAAATTTTCAAAAATAATTAATGATCATAACTCAATCAAAATTCAATCTTTACTCCTACATGTACATGTGCTGTTTGCAGTACCTGTAATAGTTCCTCTCTGGTAACGTAGAGTTTCTCCCTTTCTCCTGAAATAGCAGCAAATGCATCTTCTATTTCAGCCATTGTCTGTACGTTTTCGGTTTCTCTGCTGATGAGGAATGACATGTACTCCTCTGATGTAATGTAACCCAGCCTGTATAGGGGAGAGAGAGAGAGAGAGAGAAAGGGAAAGGAGAGAAAGAAACTCACACTTTATACATGTACATACGCATAAAGACATTAAGATGTTTTAAAAAATGAAATAAAATTTGGAGGTAATTTTAAAGTCATTTTTGGAAAAAACCATGGGCTATTATAGTACAGGGTAATTTTCAGATTTCGGTATATTTTTTTAAATGGTCATAACACAAAAAATTTAAGTTGGAATCAGCTCAAACTTTCCACATAGCATAAGGACATCAACATGTATCAAAAAATATAATAAAAAATTGGGGTGATTTTTTAGCCATTTTTCGGAAAAAAGCATGGGCTATATATAGTACAGGGTAATTTTCAGATTTCGGCATATTTTTTAAAATGGTCATAACTTGAAAAATTGAAGTCGGAATCAGCTCAAACTTTCCACATAGCATAAGGACATTGATTTGCATCAGAAAATGTAATAAAAATTGGGGGTCATTTTTTTGCCAGTTTTTGGAAAAAAAGCATGGGCTATAGTACAGGGTATTTTTCAGATTTTGGCATATTTTTAAAAATGGTCATAACTTGAAAAATTGAAGTCAGAATCAGCTCAAACTTTCCACATAGCATAAGGACATCAATATGTATCAGAAAGTATAATAAAAACTGGGGGTGATTTTTTAGTCATTTTTTGGAAAAAACCATGGGCTATAGTACAGGGTAATTTTCAGAAATTGGCATGTTTTTAAAAATGGCCATAACTTGAAAGTTTAAGCTCGGAATCAGCTCAAACTTTCTACACAGCATAAGTACATCAGAATGTATCAGTAAATTTGATGTGATATAATAAAACACAGTGTGCAGTCAAAAAAATACAAGAAATACTTGTTAAAATAATATCATAGTACACTCAACCTCTTTCCCCCTTTACCTGTTGGGGTCTACTTGATCCAGAATGGCTTCAAACTTAGGATCAGTCTGTCCTTGCTCCAACACTGCTAGTTCGTATCCCAATGATCGAAGGGACGCCTTAAACTCTTGATGCTCCAACCTTCCACTCTGATTCTTATCAAAATATCTTTAAAAAAGGAAATAATTGGTAACCACGACAACCAAATCACCATGGCAACCAATAGTTACCATGGAAACGTAACTTACTTGAAGGTGGTTGAGAACTCTCGAAGTTGATCTTCAGAGACACCAGTCATGTTTCTAAAGGAAGCTAATTAATGGGTGTGGCTGTGGGTGTGGTCTTACCTTGCTTGTATTTGCTGCTCCAGGTTATGCTGGAGTCTCATTGTCAACTGTCTTAGCTGATCCCACAGCTGATTCAGACTAACTGGTGTGTGCTCGGTATATCTGACGGAAATATTAAAATGCATACGCTTAATTAGAAAGTCTAATTAACTCACTTGTTATCAAATATCCTGTCTTTCTCAACTTTAGCTCCTAGCTCTTCAATGTGTTTCAAATGTTCTTGCCTTGACTCAATCTCCTCTGATTTAGCCTGTTGGAATGCATAGGTTTAATTGTCATAATAGCAGGTATTATGGAGGGATTGAAACATGGTAATTTGAGCCATTCGCCAAATATTATAAATCCCACCATTTTGAATCATTACTTACAAGGTAGAATTACAGATTTACCAAATTAAAAACAGCTAGTCAATTGCAATCAATTCATGAAAATGTAGCTTGTCCAAAACTATATACTGTATTAACCTGGCTTGTTGTTTTCCCTTAATACCTTTCATAACCTTTTCTATTTTCTAGTTTTTCCCATTTTCACTCTCTCTCTCTCTCTCTCTCTCTCTCTGTCTCTCTCCTCATACCTTTATAGCTTCCAGTTGTATCTCCAGTGAGCCAGTGCTATCCACAATGATAGTCCTCGTTTCAGTTAGCCACGAGTAAAACTGGTTCGCCTGTCTAGCGAATAACTTGCGAAGATCTTCGTTGAGTCTCTGCCTCTTCAGCTCTTCCTCAATCTGTGCCTCCCTGTCCTGTGAAGGAAGAGAGAGAAGAAAGGGATGAATAGAAGACAAAGCAAAAAGTAGAGAATAATAGATAGAAGGAGTAAAGAGTTAAATGGGAGAAAGAGGGACATTAATAAAAGCCACAATAAATGTTGGCGAATGGGAGAATCAAAAGTTATGCTTATAAACATACTGGCCAATGTGTTCATTGAAAAATAATATGTATATACATGTATATGTACACGTTATACATGTATGTACATATATTATGTACATGTACATGAATGTTGATGAGGGTAGTGTGTGCTGTTAGTATTTTGAGTCACTTACTTTCATTAACTTAAGTACATTCTGTAGTGTCTCCTCAAGGCTCTCCAAAGTAAACCATGTATACCTACAGTAATGAAAATAATAATGATGTTGATAATAATAATAATGATAATAATAGTAGTTTCTCTTTTTATCTCTCTCAAAGCAAAATTCATCTTGTAGAAATTTTAATTAACATAAAACAAGGTTGGTTTTTCTTCATAAATGTATAACCGGTCCATGCAGTATAAAGAAGTGACATGGTAATGATTACAAAGAGACAAAATTGTAGTATCTAATAGTAGTTTGGCGTTGACTGCCAAACTGACAGCCAAGTGGCTTATAAATGGACAGAGGAGCATTGTTAGTTCAGGCTTTGTGAATCTATTTTTAGCAGTCTAAATTTAGCAAGATTCACAAAAATAATAAAAGGAAGTGACCAGTTGTCTTGAATCACTTCTGACTGGAGGTACAATCTTCTCAATAGAAGGACATTGTCTTTAAACTGAGGAAAGGAATCATGAAGACTCTACTCTCCCTATTCTGTCTGGTCATTTACCTGGCCTTTGCCATCAGGTATGTCACTATTACATCTATCAAATAATAATGATTCCTTTTTACATGTAGTGCAGCTAATAAACAGCCAATCTCTCTTCAAATGGATTGTAGCAAAGAATCTTCTGCAGTTGCTTGCTCTTTCGTCTTCACTAACAATGGAAAAGAGGATCTTTATCTACTCAAAT